TATTATTATTATTATTATTATTATTATTATTATTATTATTATTACTATCTATTTATTAATGTCCATCGACCCTTTCTTACGTCGGTCTATTTATCTATCTATTATTCTGTCTATCAGCACTTACCAGTTTTTGAATATCCACCCCCTTTCTATATGTTAATCTGCCAAGCATTACCATTAACCCATTTGGCCATTTGGGGGGGCAAACATCTAGCTATCTATCTATTTACATAAATTCATTTATCTGTCAATACACGTCCACCAATATACCTTTAGATTCATTTTTCTATACATTTATTAAGGCTTATCACCAGTTATATCTAACCAACTGCCTTCCCGTCAACTCATTTATCTATCTACCTATTAATCGACACACATACAATGAGGTATATCCACCTAATTATGTATTCGGTTGTCCATTTATCCGTCAATTCAACTCATCTGTATATTTATTTTCTATTTATCTACGAAACTGGCTGTCAGTATAATTATCCATATACCAATTTGCCTGCCCTCCTTCCTTTCATTCTCTTTTGCTTCACATTTTTCTTCCTTTTACTTCAATCAAATTTTATCCTTTTGTAGTTTGATTTTGTTCCTCATTCTCAATTAATTTCTTTCCTCTTTCCTTCTTTTGGTTCGGCTTTCATTCCCCTTCTACGTCCCGATTCGTATCCTGCAGACCTGAGTTTGCCATCAGGTTTCAAGTGTCCTAATTAATGTTTGGTTTAAAAGGGAATCTAATTAATTACTTGCTAAAAAGACCCAACCTTTATTTTTACTTCTTTAAAATGTTTATCCAGTTGTCCAGTAAATCTGGTTTTCTTACTGTTCATATTAGACTAACGTGACTTTAACACTTCATCCTTTCAAGTGCCATACATTTGCCTCACAGTCATAGCTCCATAACTTGTTAGGATCACACAAGCTCTGTAGCATGTTTTGCACCCAATGGAGAAAGTGAATTAAATAATTAAATATTTGTGACTAAAAAGAATTGGTACAGCAAAATTTGTTGCAATAAAATATTTATTATAATGACACAGTTTCTTCCAAAGAAATAGAAAATCTATCTCCTCAACTTATTGAGAACTAAATGGGCCTATTAAGTGTTTTACCCCTTCTCAAATGCATACAATTGTTGGCTTTATGGGCAAACTAGTATTAATTAGTTTTTCATTGTGTCTAGACTCTGCTAGACATTCGACTAATTTGGGTCCCGCATTAATTACTCTTTTTGGGCGCACACGCGTTTGGGAATAATTTATAAGGAGAGCGTAAACTAGTGACGAAAATAAAAAGGTTAGACAAGAGTTGTGATCACTTTCTCCGTACCCTAGCGACATGTCTTTGCCGTACGGACAATCAGGCTTCAACTGTCTGAGTTGCCGTGCCGGCGACGCCCCAGGGTGGTTTGAGACCGGGACAGCGCCCATTATTCCGGGCCACCACGTCTCCAGGGACGGGGTACCAGCTCATCTCGTTTCGTGTAGTTCGGCCTGACCCAACCCGTTAAGGGCTTGGTCTTGTACCCCCGGCCCTGGCGCTTGGCTTCTGGACGGATTTCAGGGGAGCCAAAGAGCCTAGTCAGCCTGGGTCGGTTAAGGTGACTCAAGGACTGATAGTTGACTTTTCCCATTTAGTCATGCCCGTCAAGAGGTTGTGGCATGCAGGATAGACTACAGTTGCCACCTCGCCCAGATTAGCTCATCACCCGTAACCCCGGAAGAGGTCAAACTGTCGTCAGTCCAGACTGAGAACACCTTTTGGGGGCGAGGATAAGTGAAATTCAACGAGAAAAGCTCCATCCTCCGTCCTTACATCAGCTTAGGCGACCTGGGCTGACTAGTTGCAACAGCACTGTTCCTTTCAAGAGAAGAGTTCGTTTGAAGCAGTTTGTGAACGATTCTCGCCTCATAATTGTCTTGGCGGTAGAGATGAAAAGTTAGCATGGCTTCATCGGGGTTGAAAGACAGTGAACCAAGTATTTTTTTTCACAATCCAACAGTATTTATTCCACTAGAATGTGATTCACATTCGGTTTTTGGTGAGTACAATTGACGAATTCCTTTCAACCAACTTTTCCTTTAAAACGGTAAGTGATGCCACATTACATCATCAATACACTCGGCAAAATTAAGTTATTCTTCATGTATCGCTGGCTGACTAAGTTGTTATCCACCAATCACCGCTAGCTTCAAAATACTCCGCTTCCTATGGCTTGGCTGCGTCTCCTCATGTGTTTTCCTATCTAAAGTTAACATTTCATTTGAGTAGAGCATGCCAGACGGCTGACCAGCTTTCTTCTCTTAACGACTGGTGAATTTCCGCTTCGGTGACGTCTGTCAGGACTGGACAGACGAAAGATGCGAACGGCTTCATCGGAGTCGAGGGACAATGTATTGCTTTTAAGTAGACGTTCGAGACTATCAGTAGATCGTGAATAGAAATGTCTAGTCAGCCTAAATAGTTGAGGATAGCAAAGTGAACTTTGCCACTATGAAATGAGTAGACCTCACAGTTGCATTGGAGTTCGCATGGCCTAAATTGGCCTCATTCGAACCCCAACGGGACTCGAACCCGGCTAGTTCAGCCTATCAAATACGACAGGCTACATCTAAACCACGGTGTGCCGAGAATGCGTTTGTACGAGGCAACACACACAATTACAAAACAATCCTTCGCTCAACTTGCAAATCCCTACAACCTCTTTTCCCAACGAAATTGAACCAGCATTTCCTGACTCGTTCCAGTGGACCCGAAGAGTGCGCCAATTTGGGGGCGGTTTAGCTTACGCAAGCGTCTGGAGCTGATGATTTTGTACTTGCGTAGGCTTTCTCTGCTGCCTCGTCGTCATCGTAGTCGTTAGCGCCATCGCCGCTGTCGTCGTCACGGTCATCGTCGTCGTCGGCGTCACTGGCGTCGTCGACACCGTCGCCTTCGTCGTCGCTTTTGTCTCCGGCTTGCCGGCAAGCCAGTTCCAGTGTCGACGACGAAAGATCAGGCCGAGCAGACAAGCCACGAGGCTCAGAGCCGCCAGACTGCTGATGCAGGCGAAGAGCCAAGCTGTCATGCTGACCGCCTCGCTGCTGCCACCAACAGACAGAGCCGTGTTAAACGGGGCTCTCTTGTCATCAACAGCGTTCAACTTTGACCCCAGCGCGGTAAGTGAAGTGGCCAGATGCGACGATGACGGAGAGGAGAAGGAGGAGGAGGAGGGTGACGGGGCCGACGGCAGCGGAGGGAAGAGTGAGGAAGAGAGCGAGACAGATGCTGACGAGTTGTCACGGGAAGAAGGTGCTCCGGGATGCTGAGACGGCAACTGCGACTGCGGCGGCTGATTTGACGAAGCGGATGGTGCAGGAGCATCATGAGCAGCTAATTCTGAGCGTCCAGAAGCTTGGTCGGAGACTGGAGTTACAGTATTTGGGAGATCGACATGGGTGGTCGGAAAAGAGAGAGAAAGAGAAGGGAAATGGATGGAGAAGGATAGAGA